CGGTGCGTTTGAACCAACCTTTGGGCTACGCCTGGCCATCTCCTCCTACACCAACCCTGCTCCAGATGCCTGATCAAAGCCATACCTGATAGAAATTCCAGCTAGTGAAGTGAAGGAAAAGAGACTTTTCTGCCCCGGTCTTGGGGAACATTCAGGGGTGGGTTGGTAGGGGTTCACAGGGGTTCGGAAGAGCCCCTAGCTAAGATTCTGTGCAGTTCAGAGAACCCCAATATCCCACTCCTGGCCGGCCCGGCCCACCCTCCTCTCTCCTCCCAGGAGTCCCCACGTGGTCCGTTTTGGATGCAGGTAAGTGCAAAGCCCACGCAGAGGCTTGGGGAAGGTGAAAAATGGGCCTCCCAGAAGTTCAGGAAGCCAGAAATGGGCCCGTTTTGGGCTTCCATGGGGCCTTCAGAGCCCAAGGAGGGCATTTTCGCCCCCCAGAGGCTTGAGAAAATCGTGCAGAGCCCAAGGAGGGCAAACCTCCCCCCACCGTGGTGCAGGAGGCTGACTAGGCCACGCCCACCATGGCCACACCCACCCAGCAACCAGGTAGAAAACCCCTTGCTAAAATTTTTGAAGCCCACCCCTGGGAACATTCTGCCAACGGAGGTGAGCACTGCTCCCATCCTTTTGGTCTTCCGGAAGGGGATCAAAACCTGGTTTTGCTGGTGAGCTTGGGGCACTCAAGTGGTTTGGTGGTTGATGGGGTATGAGGAAGATCTCATCTCCATGATGTCCATCTACTTGGTTCTAGTTTCAAGCTTTTTTTAAAAAAAAAAAGTTTATATTTGGTTTATATTTGTCTTTTTTAGTTTTTGGAAGAGTCACCTTATCAAGGAGATAGGCAGCCTATAAACTTAATAAATAAATGCACAAACCCGCTGGACACTTTCCCATGTGGTCCTGACCTCAAGTTCACCCCCTTTGTCGTTTGCCCCAAAGTTTTCAGCAAGGATCTCCCAAGCAGGAAGCTTCTCGGTGCTTTTTCTTCTGCTTTGTGATTCAAGTCATCTCCAGGGACCTGTCAGGGGCCATTAAAAACCGCATCTCTCTCTTTCTGTTGTTGTTGTTGCGAGCGCTGGCCCTGCGTGCAACACAGGATGAACGCAGGGCAGAGATGGCACCTCCAATGTCTAAAGAAGGCTGAGAACAAGCAAAGAAAGCCCTCCTCGAGACAGAAAGGTTTTCAAGCAGCAGGAAAAGGCAAGGAAGAAGAAGTATCATTTCTACCTTCATCCAGAAGACTCTGATCAGGTGAGGAGCAGAAGGGGGAAAGAAATCTCACATCAACCACAAAGTTCGTGTGTTTGTGGTGGTGGGGTGATTAATGCATGCACAACCCATTTCAGATGCACCTCAACACCAGCCTGTCAGCTTTGGAAGCCATATTTCGCTGAGAAGTTTCACATCTAACATTTCGGAATTTGGGAGGGGGAATTTCATAGAGAGCTGGGCTATTAGACTCAACAACACTCTTTCTCAGAGAGTCAAGGACAGGTTGCCCTGCACCTGGAAAGGAGTGACTGGAGGAATGTCTCCTGTTGGGATGATGTTTGATTGGTCCGTGTGATGGACTAGTGGGTGCATGCGATGGATCCTTGATTTCTCTTTTGGGGAGGAAAAACCCAGATACTCTCAGATTTGGGTTTTCCTAGATGTGGCAATATGACAACTCTGATGAAAATGGAACCTTGAAAAAATGCCTGTCTTGGAGTTTGTTGGTCTGGAGTTGGTTAGTTGGAACACTGACATTAACCCCAATCTGAGAGATCCGGGTTTTTCCTTCCCAATAGAAATTCAAAGATCCATCCCCTACATCCATCAGTCCATCCCATGGTCCAATCAACCATCGCCCCAACTGGAGACATTTCCAATTAGACAGTGCAAAAGTCCACCCATTCTTTTATCCTGTAACATTTTTAAATTAATTCTTGCTTCTTTTTCCCCCTTGCCATATAATTTTTGATATTATTTTATTCAAATCCTCAAAGTATTTTTTTTTTCAACTTTATCAGGACTGTTTGAAACAAATACAGTAACCTCGGTAATATATTCATTTTAATTGTGGCTATCCTTCCTATTAATGATAATTGCAAACCTTTCCATTTTTGCAAATCTGCCTTAATTTGTTGTAACCATTTATAATAATTATCTTATTTGATTGTTACACATCTTGCTGTTAATTGAACCCCTAAATACTTTACTTTCTTAGTAATCTGAATATCTGATCTCTTCATGAACTCTTTTTTTTTTGCTTGTCTGTGATATTCTTCACTAAAATCTTGGGTTTTTTTCCTCTGTTGATTTTCATTCCTGCCACTTCCCCCTACTCTTCTATTTTTTTTTCCATTAGTTTAAACCCTGTTTCTTGTGGGTCTTCTAAAATAAAAACTAAATCATCTACGAATGCCTGTAGTTTGTTCTCTTCCTTTTTTTTAATTTCCATACCTTTTATTGCTTTCTCACTCCCTCCTCATGACCTCCCCTCAAAGAAAGAAAACGTGTTTTTGTTGAGCAAGCTACACCCATTGAGAAGAATTTGGGGAACAGTTTTTATCTTGGTGGTACAATAGGCAAACCTCGGAGGGTAGGAGGAGAGGAGAGAGTCCAAAGGATGAGCTGACGAATGGCTGGACCAGGATTTCCCAAAAAGACAACTGGGCTCTTTCGTTTTGGTTTGGTTTGGTTTGGTTTTTTTTCTTTGAAAATGTTTCGCTTCTCCTGCAAGAAGCTTCTTCAGTTCTCCAGTCTTCTTCAGAACTAAAGGCGCTTGTTGGATGAGAAGCAAAACATTTTCAAGGGAAAAAAAACTAAGGAAGTCCAGTTGCCTTTTGAAAAGCACCTTAAGATTATAACTTAATAAAACACCTGTACTATTATTAGAATTATATAACTTGTCAAACGTAAATATGATGAATACTATTTTATCTATAATAAATAAGTTGCAAAATGTGATTAGAAATGGGTTGTTTTTTTTAAAAAAAAATAGAATCGTGGCATAGTTAAAATTCAGAAAGGGGATAAATAATGGAAGATTATAACACCCAATATAAATGGGTAAACTATTATTAGAATTATGTAAGTCTGTTAAACGCCACAAAGGTGATGAATAATATTTGATTTGTAGTTAAAAGAGGGATATTCAGAATATGGAGATTGACGCAAAAATAAGATATTGAAATGGTGAATAATCAAAGAATGAAAGGTTGCAATTTAACAAAATATGTGTGTTAATATTAAGATTGCCAACTGTATTAAATATGAAGAATATTGCCGTATTTGTTTTAAAATGTAAGACACTCTGGTCCCATACTGTTCACACAATGATATGTTTAAAAATTAAAAAAATATTTAAAAAGAAAGAGAGAGAGAGAGAGAGAGAGAGAGAGAAAGAGAGAGAGAGAGAGAGAGAGAGAGAGAATGATTGAGTATCTCTGAAGATATCTGGATCTGGAGAGAGGTTCAAAAGAGAGACCAAGGATCAGAAGGATGAGGTAATTCATTAATTAAGTAAAAAAATCCCACTTTTTCTCATCCCACACAGACCCAGAATCGCTCTCAAAATGAGGAAGCTTTCATAGTGTGCATCACAGCAGAAATTTCCCTGCAAACTTCACCCACCCAATGTCCCTGAGAAGCCCCAAGCATGGCTACCCAAACCTCTAGCAGTGGCTGAGGAGAGAATTGTCCCCTTCAAGGCCATCTGCGCCTACCACCTCCAGAAGCCACCAAGACATGTCTCCTCCTCGAAAGGCTCTTATTCCCCCTTCCAATTTCCAACCCAGTCACGTTGGGTGGTTGACCCTCCTCCCTCCGGAGTCTTCCTTGAGAGGGAGGGAGAATCCTTCCCCTTCTTCTGGGTTCCCAGCAGACTGAGTGATTGCACCTCCTTTGTATGCAATGATGGGCATTGTGGTTTGTGGACTTGGTGCCGCTGGATGGACCCTTGGTGAGACTGTGACTTGGAGCGATTTGCACACCCAGAAATGGAATTTAACCTGGTCACCTGCCTTAAGGGTCTTGTACAAACGAAGACTTGACAGTGGTCAGAGGCAGCTTAAAGCTCCATAATTACAGAAGTTTATACTTCTTGACATATTTATTCTTTGCTCAAACCCTCCCAAATGTTGGGACCGGAAATCTCCTCTTGTGGCTGCAGGGAAATTTGCACTGCTATTAGGATCCTTCCCTAATTATCTCCAAGGTAGTATCTGATCTATTTGTTAATACTTCATTAGTATCTGTGTAGCTAACTATCTCATGCCACCTCTTCTGCTTAGTTTAAAAAAAAAAATGGATAACGTCTTTGTGTAAACCCCAAAAACAGATAGGGATCTTAGTTGGACAAAGCCCATGGAAGGAATTTAGTTGTTCGTTTCCAGCTGTGTCCAATGATCCTTGTTGTATCAGCCGATCGATCACAAAGAGACGCGAGGCAGTGACTACTTTAAAGCTCCTTTATTTCAGGTTTGAATCTGCCGCCGGCTGAGTAGGCGGCGGCTTATATTGAACTGGTGCCAGGCGCCGCGGCCAATGACAGCCGTTTGAATCACCCGCGATCGGCTCGGCCAATCGCGGTTGCTTCGTAACGGCCAATCAGTGCCGCGCACTTGACCAATCCGGTCGCTGTGCGTTTAACCAATCAGGAGTGCAGGTTTCCAAGAATGCAAATGTCCATACAGAACAATCCTCATTCTGCATCTTTGCACAGCTGTGCAAATTGGGGAATGCCAAAATGGCATTTCGGGAAAGTTAACCGGAAGAACACACCTGTAATAATCTTCCGCTTGACTGAAACAAATCCATAAACATCTTCAGACGCATTTCCCCTACCGGATGATTATTTTATTCATTGCAAAGCATTGTTTAATTGTTCCAGGTAGCCTTGGGGAAGTCCAGGGGTTCCTTCACGCTTCTGCAGCTTCTTCTTCATGCTGTGATTTGAAAGGAGCGGCTGCTCCGGAATTCTGCTTCATTCCAACCTTGTCCACCAAAGCTTGATGAAATTCATGGAAGTTAGAAACCAGACCGTGCAGGTGACTGAATTCTTGTTCCTGGGTTTCTCTGGCATGCCCAGAGATCAACCTATTTTCTTTCTGCTGTTTCTCACCATTTACCTCATCACCTTGGTGGCCAACTCAATGATATTCATTTTGATCCAGCTGGATTCACGTCTCCACAGTCCCATGTACTATTTCCTCAGCCATCTCTCCTGCTTAGACATTTGCTATTCCTCGGTCACGGTCCCAAAGATCCTCGTGAACCTTGTGCACCAGCAGCCCACCATCTCCTACAATGAGTGCATGGCCCAGATGTTCTTCCTCATGACATGTGCTGGAACTGAGTGTGCAATGCTGGCTGTGATGGCCTATGATCGCTATGCGGCCATCTGTGAACCTTTGCACTATTCTCAACTCATGAGTAGGGAGGTGAGAGTGCCTCTGGCTACTGCTTCATGGATCTGGGGCCTTCTCGACTCAGCCATCCACACTGCCCTGGCCACCGATTTGATCTTCTGTGGAGCCAACCAGATCCATCACATCTTCTGTGATGTCCCACCACTCTTGAAAATTGCTTGTAGCGACACTTATGTCAATGAGATGGCTCTTCACACAGCAAGTGTCTTTGTGGGTCTGAGCCCTTTCCTCCTCGTTGTCATTTCCTACATCTACATCCTATCTACCATTCTGAAGATCCGTTCCAGCACTGGAAGGAGAAAGACCTTCTCCACCTGCGCTGCCCACTTGATAACTGTCATTGTCTACTTTGGGATGGCCAACTTGAATTACAACCGTCCCAGTGCAGGCTACTCCTTGGGGGTGGACACCCTGGTTTCCACCCTGTATTGTATCATCACCCCCATGCTGAACCCCCTAATCTACAGCCTCCGAAACAAGGAGGTCAAAGGGGCCCTACAAAAACTTCTGAGCATTCAGGAGAAGGAAGATGCACCACCTGGAAAGCAATGAAGGAAAAATGGCATCGCCTTCATGCCCTCTCTGCATATTCTTGCCTGTAAAATAGCAACAGTTGGAGGGGAAGGGGTCACACAGGGGAAGGAAGGGTGGGAGATTCTGGGGAGATTTTAGGGGACCCTAAGTCTCTTCCTCTTCATCTCCAGGCTCTGCTGTGCCTTGTCTATCTCCTCTCCTGTGCTCCATCACTGGTGAAAAGGGAAGGGAAGGGAAGGGAAGGGGAGGGGAGGGGAGGGAAGGGAAGGGAAGGGAAGGGAAGGGAAGGGAAGGGAAGGGAAGGGAAGGGAAGGGAAGGGAGGGAGCAGTTAATTCCAATCTTCTCTACAGAAATTATAAGTACAGTTATAAGTTTACTGCTTCCTCTAAGGTTACAACTTGCTTCTTTCTACAGGGTATTCTTTCATTCTTAAAATCATAAATCACAAGTTATTTTTTTCTACTTCACGCAAAGCTCCATAAGAGTTTCCCATTAGTAATAAACCTAGATATTGTCTTTAATTTGATCTGTGAGAAAAATCACAAAACACAACTGGAGACAGTAAACAAGAGCTTTATTATTAAGCTTTTGCCAAAGGGAATTCCGCTCCTCACAGAAGAAATCTTTCCCAGGAAGGATGGGAAATATATATATACCGGTTCAATATACAGTCTCTGCCCCTTTCCTGGGTTCACAATCTCTCCAACTACGTAATTTCCCTATGCCACACCCATAGCATACCACACGTTTCCCTTTCTTTGGAAACTACCCTCGTTCTCATGGCATTTTCCTGTAATGTTCTTCTGAACACAATGGATCATTAACCAGTTCCATTCAGGTCAGAATGATCCTACATTAATTCTCAAGCCAAAATACAACCCCCCCATGTTCCGGCCAAAAACCTGACATTTACTTTAGAACATAACACGTTACAACACAGTACATATTTCTTATATAACCAGTCATCATTGTAAAAAGATCACATTACAAACAAAAATGGAGTCTCTTTGATTCTATGCTTTCTTAGGTGTAACAGGCAAATATATGTTATTTCCACATAAAGCATTTGGCTCTCTCAGCAAGTTCTCTCGTTTTCACTTTCATCATTTGTACACAATCCTGCTTCAAACCTGGGCTTAACAGTATCATTATAATGTAAAATAATAAAAAACCAACCACAGAATGTAGATGACTCAAGAAGCTTCCTGGCTGTGTGTCCCGACACCCTGCAAAAGTCCCAGCGCTCCAGGGGCCCAAACAGGAAAGCAGAGAGGTCCATCTTCAGAGCCCCACAAGCTTTGGCTACTAAGTCTCCATCTTTGTCCCTCTACCAGAGGGAACAACTCACCTCCTGCCCAATGACCGAGGCGGAGGAAGGAGGAGACCTGGAAGGGAAGACTTCACCAGGGGAGCCACTTCCCTCCAGAAGTTGGGAAGCTCCGTCACTGGAGGTTAAAATTAAGAAACTTTAAAAGAGGGGAGAAGCTATACAGAAAATGTAGAATGGTAATAAGATATGGAATGGTATATAAAAATGAGCATGACCTTGAATTTGTGTCTGTACGAAGAGGTGCAACCAAGGATCATACTGTTTTCAAAAAAGATGTTTTATGCTTTTGTGTTTTGTTTGTTTATGGTTGTTTTTAAAAAGGAATAAAAAAATTTAAAAAAAAAAGAAAATGGAGTTGAGACCCTGGAAGGAGCGCCGAGAAGAGCAACAGTGATGATTAGGGGACTGGAGGCTAAAACATGCAA